CCCCCCCCCCCCCCCCCCCCCCCTTCATCTTGGTGTGTTTTTACCCACCAAGAGCCAGTTTTCAGCAAACAAATAAGATCCACTCTAAAGCTGGATTAACGGTAGCATTTTCTGAAGTCTGTTATTTGTTCTGTTCCTGTTTGGGCTCAATATTGTTTAACTGATTGTCATTCTGTCCAAATCTAGGGATATCCAGATCCAGTCCGTTTCCCCCCCAATCCACTTAATTTAATAAGCCTTAGGGAGCCACGTAGTCCTGTTTTTGTCTTTCTGACGGGCAAAAGTGATAAAGGGAACCTGAAGATACATTTGAGATGCAGCTCAGCACTGAATGTCAAGTTGTTGTAGTCATAAATCAGAACTCAAAATTTGAATTCATTAATTAAAAAGAATTGTGAATGTGTTAAAGTAAATGATGGCCATTCCCATGCTACCTTATGTCTTATGTGGTATTGCAGCAGTTTTTGGGTTGATACAATTTGTTACACAGATTTGCTGCTAAATTAAAAATGTTTGACCATATTTAAGATAAGACAGAAATGATCAAATTACCACATTAAGACACCAAGAAGACCTTGTTGACCATAGAAAAAGTCATGCTGCGATTTGGTTTCTGAAACATTTAACATAATTGCATTTTTCGGTGACTGTATGGCAAGTACCTCTGCTCTCGAGACTGCTCAGAAACCCTCTTACTTAGGAAAGCCATTTATCCGCGAATGTGCTCGGTCTCTAGTTTGTGGTTGTAAAGTTTCATGAGGCTGTGTTCAATTTATAGTAACCTCAAGTTTCAAAATATGATCTAACTACAATGAAATGGCTAGTAAGGGGCCTATCATCACCACACATGAATACAGTCGGACCTTTTGGTTGCACAACAGTCTCAGCTTTCCAGTTAAACCCAATTTATGCAATTTCAAGACTTGTTCCGTACCGCAGTATGCAGAAATATTCAAACACACCAGTTTTTGAGAGGTGAAAATATCGCATTTATACTGCATCCAAACTGCATGGGATTATCATAAAGTGGGCATGTATGTAAAGAGGAGACCACTCTAGTTCACTCTAGCTTTTAGACTGAGATAGAGCCTCTTAAAGACAGTAATGTTGGGTCTTAGAGGTGTAATGTAGAGTAAGTACTGATCTGATATTTTTAAAATCCTGCAGGTAGTATTCAGGTTGTTAGTGTAAACACCAGCACAACTCTCTATTCAGGGCTTTTGCATGATGTTGACTGCATCCGTGTGTGTTTTGTTGCAGGGTGACGCCGTCAAAGACTTGATGCTTCGTTTCCTGGGAGAACCGGCAGCGATGAAGCGCCAGGTCCTCACCGCCAACTCTGTGGAACAGTCCTTCACAGGCCTCAAACGTCTCATCGTAAGTCACTCACTGCACCACCTGTGCATGACTACCGCTAGTTCCTTCATGTTCACCTCTGAGGCCCAGAGCATCATTAACTGTGCCTTCGTTGTTGTAGCATCATTTAGCTTTGGTGCTCATTTTTGCTCATTTATTTTTTCATGATTTGCATGCAGTTGGAACAACCTAGCAGATTGATAGTTCACTCCTGACCCTGGAAACTGCTGTTGACAAAACCACCTCCTCTCAAGGTCCACTTCTGAGCTTGTGCCAGAGCTTTAAAGGTGCTTAATAAGAGATTAGAGGCATTTTCATTGCCTTCCTACGGCTCTAGCTGGCTGAGCCGCCGGCTCGCAGCTAACCGTGCCAACAACAGCACTGGCAGAGCTAACGGTGTTTACCTATTAGGGGACCCAGAGGGTTGGTTGCTACAGCCCCACTGCCGGTCTGGACACCGTTCTCAGCATTAATGCTGTATGATAGCAATACAGAGCGAGGGCCGCGAGCTGAACCTGATCTCACGGTGTGCATCAGCACATGAGTTTTGCTTGGTTGTCATGTTCAGTGTTTTCACTTTTCTCAACCTTTACAGTTTCGTGACAACTGAGCTTTCTTCATCTCCTCATGAGGAAAGTGTAATATGGTTGAAAACTCCACAACAAGTGTGTGTTTTGTCGACAGCATGTTTAAGGCAAATCGTATGTATGAGAGAAATTGAATACAACATGCAACTTAGTGCAATTCACAAAAACAATAAATTTGCAAAACAAATGCAGTTATCCACGACAACAATGACAATATTCCCCAGGAACAACGCACAGATATTTCCACATGCTTTTATTCTATTCACTGAGACAAAATTAATGCTGGTCCCAAAACATTGAAATGATCAGTCGAGGAGCCCTCGAATCAGACCTCATGCCGTCTTCAGCCATTTTTTTACCGCTGCCTCTTTGAACACAGAGCGTGGCAGGGTACACATTTTGACAAACTTGATCTGGCCTCGAATTCTTTCCTAATCTTAAACCTGCTACAACACTGTTTCAACAGCGCTGTCAGCAACAGAGCAGTAACTGCTCTGTTATTGTTTGCAGTTACTTTGTTTCGACTTATCTATCACTGAGCTACTGTATGACCAGCATGCCCACTTTGTTTTTTCTTTTACTGTATACAAAGATGGTTATTGTCAATGTTTGGACATTAAGGGCACTAAACTGTTATGGTGAAACTCCTTTCATGACATGAAGGCCTTACTAGGAGTCTAGTGTGGGGTGGCTGCTGTGCAGGTGACTCAGATCGAAATTGGGGCCAAAAAGAAAAACTTGATTGGCACACTGGTAAAGATAATGCGGAGTATTGTTTTAGTGCAGCAGCTGCTTTCAGAGAACATTTCTTCTCTTTCTAGAGGTAAACGACAAATCCAGCATTTGGTTACTACAGTTTAACATCCTGTGGTTTCGGCAGCATGCGTGACCTTTTGGCAGTTGGCCGGTACAGTTACCGTCTCTAGTGAAACTGCCGGGTGGTGAGGCCTCAGCCGACTGAAAACAGTGAATCATTCGTCTCCTTTTCTCCTCATGTTCCGTTCCTCCTATTCTTTTGTCAAGCATAAAGAGGCCCGTCTTTCTCTGTGACTGTGCAGTCCCGCCTCATTCCCTTTCTAGCTGCCATCTATCTATCTATCTCTCCAGCCCTCATGCGCTCCCTCCATCATAACTTCTAACCCACAAATGACCCTGAGAGACAGTTGTTATTTAAAACATATGCACAGCAGACAGTGTGATGGAGGGAGGGGGAAAGAGGAGAGGAGTGGAGCGATGGAGAGGTGGGGATCCACTCGGCTCACAAGTTCTTTTCTCCTGCTGTGCCCATGTATTATGCATGGGACTACTGTGCATATTTCAAGGGCCTTCTGGACTGCGCGTGCTTGTGCGTGCGTGCGTGCGTGCGTGCGTGCGTGTGTGTCAGTGGATCATACGCGGTCTGCCAATTGGTGTGGGTGGCTCCCTGAAGCAAGATGCAGCAAGAAAGGAGCGAGACAGTGAGCCAGAGAGGTAACGCAGGCCTACAAGAGGGATGTCAAGTAGTGACGAGCACAGACGGAAAGAGAAGGCAGCGTTCTGTGCGTGAGACATGTGGAGGCAGAGGAGGGCTTCAGCTGGCCCCGAGCGCACACGCTCACATTTGACTTTGGGAATGTGGAGAGAGCTACCGTGGGTTCGGGTCCCTACACGCGTCTGATTAGATTTCTTGATTGACTTCTTGATTGTTCGTATTAAATGAAACATTAATGTCGGCGTCTTGTGTACAACACTAGATGACAAAAAAAGCAAAGTCTTTTGACATTTGCTCAAGGGTCCTCTGGTTAGCAACAACAACAAGCTGTCATTTCTCCTCCAACTCCAGGTAGAAATATGCATTTACTGTATATATAATGCGTACCCAAATCACAGGGCGGATACGTGCATTATTTTTGCTCTGTGCTCTCGGAGAGCCCCCCTCTCGTTATTATATACTTTGGTTTATTACCAAATGTTTCCAAACCTAATGACATTCCCACCAGCCTCAAATGTGCTCTGTGTTTACTGCTAATTAGCAAATGTTAGTAGCGTACCAACACGCTGAAATAAGATAGTGAACATGACAAATGATACCTACTAAACATCAGCATGTTAGCATTGTCATTGTTAACACGCTGTCTGTGGTATTCATCTTAAAGCACAGCTGTACCTACAGTATATGCACAGGGTCACAGAACATCTAGCTTGGCTGTCAAAAAGTCAAAAGTAGCTGTTGGCTGCTAAACGTACCACATTTTCAAGTTCCTATTATCAGAGTCATGTCATGAAGAAACACAGGACTACAGTTTTCTCTTTGCATTCTTACATGCTCATCTGTGATGTCTTATGTTTCCTTCTTAATAGCATTACAAATATGTGGAAAAGGCCTTTTACCTTGATGAATATTTAGCCACCATGATATATTCCACTTCATGCCTCTTATTGCAAATCAGCACATGAGCCATTAGGCATCACCAAAGCGAGGAAACCCAGTGTAATGTGATACCGGGAGTCCAATGAACAGAATGGGCTACAGAGCAGCTCTCCAGAGTCTAATTCAACTACACTCAATACAGCTGGTGATCGGGACTTGAACCCAGGGTCTTTAGCCGAACGATAACATCTCTGCTCACTGCATCACCTAGCATGGAGCCAACAAATCCTGCTCCCTAATAAGGAGCTCTGTTTGCTCTTGATTAAGGATGCTCCACTGTCTGACTAGAACAAATGTACATATACAACATGATGCTGTTGCTGACATTTAAACATTCAACATTGTGTTTTCCCTGATACAGACAGAGCGTTGTTTGTAGTAGGGATGTTAATAATGTATCGTTTGACCGACAATACGAATTTTGACAGATTGATGCTCTCAGTTACACATGAAAGAAATATTGAAAATTAAAAGAATTAGAGGAAAAACTCAGAGCAGAGCAGCTTGCTGTTTAAAGGGGAACAGCTGGTCCACCTTATAGGTCAGCCCACCGACTGTGCCTCAGTGGTAGAGTGGCTCGTCCTTCAATCAGAAGATCCAGTACGCGTACGCTGGTACATGTCGATTTGTCCTTTGGGAAGACTCTTACCCCAAATTTTCACACATGTCGGAGGCTGTGCCTGCAGTGTATGAATGATTAGAATGATGGGCAGGTGGCCCCGTGCATGGTAGCATCAGTGTATGAATGGGTGTGCATGGGTGAATGACAGGTAGTGTGACAGCGCTTTGAGTACAAGTCCATTTACCATTCATAGCGATTGTATAGGAGCACAGTATCAGGGCCCCGGTGCATCCCTAGTCCCCCACGTAACCACTTTGCAGACATAATAATCATTGACTGAGTCGCTCCCACTGAGGAAGTGAATCAGATGCCATCTGCCCTCTCAATCTACTGCCATACCCACTTGAATTCATATGATTTACTTCTCAATAACTTCTGAAATATCCAAACTTCTGAGATCAAACAAACTCACAGATCAAAGTTGTCTGAGGGGGAATGCATCTCGGTAGTGTTACGTATGGTTCTATGTCCTGCTGTGAATGTTTGTGCTTGGGTGTATGTGTGCATGTGTGTGTATTCTGTGTCTTTTGACTTCTAGGTGCAGCTCCCTAACGAGTGATTGAGGGCACCTGGATGAGGATGTGGTTTACCTATATAAGCGCCTCCTTGCTCCGCCCTCGCTCTCTCTCGTCTGCCTGGCACCAGACCTTGGTCTGCAGTGGGATTTGCACACTACAGTTTACTTGTGTCCTGTAAATAAACTGGCAGCTGTGGTTGTTTTTAACCTAACTTGGTGTTGTGTCCCTCCTATATGTTGCGACTCCCAAGCCGGTCGTAACAGTAGGCTGGGAGGGGAAGTTGAAATGAGGATGTGCACAAGCAGAATACACATGTGCACGAACACTTGGTCACGTATACACAGAGAAGTGGGTGTGTCAGTAAGCATGTGACCACCAAAAGTACGTGTGCATGTTTTAAACCCATTTTATGTTTGTCGTCAGCTTTTTATCATCCTCAGTGTAAGGCCCTTTGCTTGGGTGAAGGTAATGGGGGTGCGTGCGTGCGTACGTAGGTGTGGTAGAGCTCTGCTATGAGCTGGCAGAATGAGTCATGCTGCAGAACCAGAGTGCGACTGCCAGTCACACTCCCTGTCCTTACATCCATACACACACGTGCACAAATGAACATTGATTACACTCACAGCACACGAGAGACTTGTAACTTAAGTCAAGAGTAACTTAACCCCCGAACCAGCTGAAAACCAATGTCTATGGTATTAAGAGTTGTTGTTGATGGATTCAGGTCTAGGTCTACATATGGTGTTATATGCATTGCGGCTGCCCTCTACAGGCTGATCTGGAGGCAGGTGACATATATGGAGCCAGTTGTCCTCATCAGCCACCCCCCGCCCCACCCCCTCCTATTAAACCAACGTTCTCTGGCTCTGTAGACTGTGGCGAGGAGTATTAGTAAAGAGTAGCTTTTAAACTCTCAATTAAATTGAATCTCTTTAGCTAATAACAGGCGCTAGTGCTAATCGCTAGCACACACAAATCCCAGCATTGCCTGAGCCGAAGTTGTCGCTGACTTCATTTTAATCAGCAGGTGGCAAGCACGACACAGGAGCTTGGTCTTGAGGAGTTGTAGCATTTATTTTCTCTCTCTCTCGCTCTCACTCACTCAACCGCACACTCGCTAACGGGATGCAGTGAGTTGTTCCTTGAAGGAGTTTGTAGGCCTCTGTCATTTTAGAGGGCTTGAAAACAAATGATATATGTATCTTAAAAATATATGTATTCTTTAATTCCCCCAAAGCAGGGAGTTGACCAGCGGCTTTCTCCAGAACGTGTAAGAATTTTTTTTTTTTCTCTACTCTCCTCATTGGTGGATCGTCTCCATAATTTGCTCTTATTTAGCAACTGGCGACTGTTAACTTTGGATCTTGAGCCCAAGTTAGCATCTTGACACTTGACATTGTGTGTTTTTGTCCAACCAACCATCACAAAACCCCAAATATATTCAATTAACAAAGATACAGAATAGTGAAGGGCAGAAGAAGTCTTCACATTTGAGACCAGATCATTTTTGGTATTTTTTACCAAAGTCAAAATAGAATGGGAAGGGAGCTGTCAAATGAAGAAAAGTGAGAAAAATATGTTTAATGAGCGCAAAATTACAGGTACTCAATGGCATGAAGAACACCTATGAAATAGGCTTAGATCTGCAGCTTCAGGTTTGGCGCCCTGACACATTTATGCGGACATAAAATAGTTAACAATCACATTATCGCCTTGACTCATCGGCTTCCAATCCTTGTTTTTCCTGATCCTATCCTGTGACCCGCATATCCAACACAATCCCCATTGGGGTTTTGCACATTTTTGATTTTTTTGCATTTGATAAATAATTTGCAAGATGGGGCCATATTTCACTCCTGGCCCACTTTTTACATGGACTGGTTCAAACTGATTTTCAGATGTTTCACTCTGTTTAAATGACTTTAAGGTTCTAACTTGTATCTATTTTAGAAGACGTTTGCTTTGGAGGTCGGATGTGAAGAGGACTGAGTCTGCTTGGCTGTCCTGGCCTCCCCTCTACTCCCCCCCCCCCCCCGTCTTTCCCATGACCTCTGTGGCGTGGTCAGCAGAGTGGGCCGGTCTCTGGCTCAGCACCACCCTGGGCTGGCCTCATCTGTCTCTCTCATTAGCAGTCACCCCTCTTCTCTACTCCTCTCCCCCCTCGTTTCCTCCTTCTCCTTCATCTCTTCCTCCCTCACCCCCCTCCGCACTATCCACCGGAGACTCTAACCTCTCTTTCCTCCCACAGTGTGACGCCGTCTGGGCCGGCGGCCAGCATATATGTGTATGTTTGTGTGTATGTGTGCGAGCGAGAGAGAGAGAGAGACCCACCTTGGCTAGGTCAGACAGACACACCCCATAATCACTGCAACGACCCAGCTGCTGCATCGCACTTTGATATCATTGCTGTAACCTTTCCTTGTCATTATCGTAACCTTTTTACATAGCTGTCATTTCCACCACCAGTTCCACTGGCGAGCCAGGCTCTGGGTAATGCAGCGTCAGCTTTGGTAGCGCTGAAGGGTATGTTTAAAACCTCAGTGCTAGTTGTTTTCACCTTGCTCCGTTTATGTTGGCAGCAGCCATATGCTCAGACGGACCTTTTGCAAAAGGACCATTTCAGTTTATTACAACTTGGGTCTAGTTTTTGTACTTTTAGCCATCATTCCTATTGGTGATTATACCTATGAACTAAACGAGTTATTATAGTGACATTGAGAGTTAAAAGCGGCTAATGGTGTGCCCTCTTTTGTTTTTAGTGGTATACTGATTTTTACTGATATGCTCCTGCAGTTCCTCTGACTTATGGCACACAACTTGTAGTCTGAAAGCGCTTTCAAAATAAAAAGAGTTCAGATTTATCTGACTGCTCGTATTCCTTCATGAAAAAGAAGCCATGTGTAGAAGTATAGAAAGTTGAGGATGCGGACACGTTGAGACGCATTGAGAATCTTGCGTGCATTCGAGTCGTTGCCGGTTAAATGAGTCCGGTGAAGATTGACACCTGTTGTTACTGAAACGTGCCACTGCTGACTGTTTGTGTGCCGCTGGTCTAAGCCAGATGATAAACTGTGTGCCACTCGTATTCAACAGGTGCCACTTCTCAACAGCAGGTGGCGACGTGTTAAACTGGAAGGTGCTCTTTAGCCACACAAGTCTGTCCGCCACTGTGGTCGATGAAAATATCTCTGCATCAGCACTTTTGGATGGTAACATGCCTACAAATGTACCAATATTCCGAATGTGATACAGGTCACGTAAACAGCATGTTCTATGTAGAGAAGCATGCCAAACAGAAAAAAACACATTTCTGTCTGGACGGAGAAACGCACCTTATGAAAGACTTGGATATCACCAGGTTTTTGGATATGCACAAATATCATCAAATAACTTAATCAGAGTATGCATGGCTGCAGGTGAACGTGCATATAAGTGGAGTATTCATTTTCATGTATTTTCCAGAATAAGGGCAGAAAACGGCTCATTTTGTGCACGTAAACGTAGTTAGTGATTGGCCGGATGTGCCGAGGTGAGAAAGTAACACGATTTGAACTTCACTCTCAAGCTTTCTTTTTCATTCTTCACAAAGTGTTCCTCTGGTTTAGTTTATCTTACTTTTTTATTTAGTACTTAGTGTGTGTGTGTCGTCATCACCCCTTGCTGCTCTCTGTGTCCGGGTTTTGTGGCTGTTCCAAACAAGTGTAAACATTCTTGCTCCCTTGATTGTCCGACAGCTGATGTGTCTTTCCCTGTCGGACTTTGTTGTAGTGATGTCCCTGTGTCCCCAAATCTCAGAAATTACTTTTGTAAGTACAAAATGACCCAAACTGATAGAAACGATGGGCAGTCGGTAGCCATACCAAATCGGTTTAGCGTCAGCTCCAGGTCTTTCAGCATTGGGAAAAACTTAGTGTGTGTGATGTACTTTGGGTAAATCGCCGGATGTGAATCAGGCCCGAGACAGACGTTCTTTTTAACTTCAGCAGCACCCTCGGAGGGAAAAGCAAGCGGGACATTCTGTTATTGTTGACAACCAAACCATCAAAAGTTATCCGGTAGCACACCAGTCAATCAGGGGTTAATGTTGCCCAGAGGAGCTTCACTTAGAACTCGGAAGCCGTGTTGAGCCGTCTCAGGGAGTGCTATGTGGAGTTCTCTACCAAGCCACGAGCTACTGCGCCATCTTCACATGATCTATTATGCCGGTTTGTGTTTCGACGTCTCTCAGCGATACTGTTTAAAGAATCCAGCAATTCTGCCTGTGGGAGACAAAATGGCTTCTGCGTGACGTTCATATCGGCGCAGTAGCCGAGCAGGCCGTCCTCCAGCTCGAGGACGATATCCCCTCCCCTGGTTCAAGTGTCTATAGACCAACTACAGAGGCATCAAAGTAAAGTTATGTCATGCACTTTTGGCATATTACAAATGTTTTCTTCCCCCCTTCCACACACACCCCCTGTGTGTAATCCGAAATGACGGGGCTTGATTGAAGCAGCACCGAGCTCCCTGCGTTAACCAAAGCTAATGTGTGTTTTTTTTAAGTCTGATACGCCTGGAGGCTTCGGGTCTTGAGAGAGAATGAGTGGGCGTTCGTTTGTTCGTCGAGCTTTGTTTGTTGTTTTTACTCACCAAAGGAAAATACGCACTGAACTTCAGATCGGCAACACATTCTAGGTGCCTCACCCCTTTTAACCCTTGTGTCGTCTTAGGGGTCAAAAATGACCCGTTACTATGTTTAACAGCATAGGAAACACCTTTAATGATATTTTTTAGGGCCCGTGCACCGACGTAGTCGGAGCGGAGGACCTATTGTTTTTCGATTGTTTATTATTATTATTCTTAGTGTTTTGTCGCAAAAAGGAGGTGCTTGGGATACTGGAAGAATGTCGAAATTTGGCACGCAAGCCAGAATTTGCGAAAATTGCAGTCTGATTGGGGTGTCCAACTGCGGTATGAAATATTGGCTCGATAGCGCCCCCTATTGAGTAGCCCCAACATTGGGTTTCACCTAGCTGTATGAAATTTGGTAGGTATGTGGAACGTTATGAGATGCACAAAAAATTCTCTTGGAGTTTTTGATTAAACCAAACATGAAGTCGGCCATTTTGACTTTTATGACGTTTTTTGACCATTTCAAGGCGTCATACTTTAACGAACTCCTCCCAGAGATTTGACCCGATTGACTTCAGATTCGGTCAGTATGCTCTTGAGACCTTGGCAGTGAAAAGTTACTCAAAGATCAAAAAGTTACCGAACTATGTGTCCGTGGCGTGGCGTCAAAAAAACACCATTCGCCGTGAAACAGGAAGTTGTTGTAACTCGGCCGTACATTGTCTAATCTGCTCCAAATTTCTCATATGTCATAACATCCTGAACCGGAACACATCCATATGACAATTTAGAATCATAGTAATAGCGCCACCTAGTGGCAACCGGAAGTTGTAAGTTGTGTACTTTGACATCCTGCTCCTCACAGATTAATCAGATCCCTCTCAAATGTTGTCAGAAAAGCCTTAAGACCTTGATAATGCTTCATTGTGAAGATTGTAAGAAGTTATTGAAGGGCGGCGACTTGGAGGCTCGGCGAATTTCGATCCTTCGCCATGAACGAATAAATTGATGTAACTCAATTCCACATCATCAGATCCTTACCAGATTTCACATGTTTGATTAGACTCTAGGCCTGAAGACATCTGCAGGCCAATTTTGAATCATAGTCATAGCGCCACCTACTGGTAACAGGAAGTTAAAGTCTTTATACTTTGGCTTGTTTCTCTTAGTAGGTAAATCAAATCAATATCAAATTAGTTCCACACAAATATAAGAAGTTCATAATGCCAGTTCATGAAGCTTTTGATGTTTCATCGAACACCGTTGCCGTGGCGATGCAGTCTTCGCCGTTAACAACGAAGGTAATTTTGAGAGGCTAAAAATGCTCGAAACATAAGCAAACTTGGCGAACAGATTTGGTAGGAACATGTATCACATACGGACTTAAATAAAAGTCTCTTGGGGCCATGCTCTAAACCCAACCGGAAGTCAGCCAGTTTGAATTTTATATGAATTTCTAGTGTTGTTTTTGTCATTTCCAGGTGCTGCACTTTAACGAACTCCTCCTAGGGAATTAATCAGATCAACTTCAAATTTGATCGGTACAGTCTAAAAACCTTTGTGATGAAAAGTTACTCAAAGCTTGTTGTTTCGTGAAAAGCTGTTGCCGTGGCGACGAACTCTTCACCATGAAAAATTAAGGTGTTTTTGAGAGGCTAGAAATGCTCGAAACATAAGGAAACTTGGCATACACATTTAAAGCCCCCTACAAAATTTCGACGAATCAGCCCTCGCTGTACGTTTCACATAGATTTACACAATTTGGTAGGCACATGTATCACATGTGGACTTAAAATAAAGTCTCTAAACGATCTAAACGTCTCCATGGGACCATGATCTAAACCCAACCGGAAGTCAGCCATTTTGAATTTTGTATGAATTTCTCGTGGTTTTTTCCATTTCCAGGTGCTGTACTACGAACTCCTCCTAGGGAATTAATCCGATCAGCTTAGAATTTGGTCAGAACAATCTAAAGACCGTAGTGATTAAAAGTTACTAAAAGCTTTAGGTTTCATCGAACGACGTGGATATGGTGTGATGGCCATTTTACATGGTTTGCCATCATCCATCAAGCTGTTGTAACTCGACTGTACTTTGTCAAAACTGTCCCAAACTTGACATGCTTGTTCACTGTCATGGCTTTAGGACTTCTGCATGCCAATATTAATCCATAGTCATAGCTCCACCTACTGATAAGCACGGATGTAAGCAGGATTCTATAATTACAGCGGCCCAAACACTGAACTTATTGAAAGGGTTTGTGGGCACACCATGAGAAAAAGACTTCTCTGATCTAAATGTGCAAACTAAGATGCTGGAGAGCAAAAGTTAGATAACAGTGGATTTTCAAACCATGTCAGTGGGCATTAGTATAAATGATCTGTCCAGAGCTTCTTCATGACAATCAGGTTAAACGTTATAATGAATGCTTCACACTACAATCTAAAGTTATAGAAGAACTTACAATGAAAACAGTGTTAAATTAAAGTGTTCAAGTAACAGCAAATGGCACTACTGTTTTGTTAACTTTCATGTAAGTCCAAA